TGTGTCTGTGTGTGTGTGTGTGTGTGTGTGTGTGTCAGAAGCGAGACGAGCGCTGCGTGCTGAACTCTGCTGTGAGGGTGGTGGACTTCGGCAGCGCCACGTTTGACCACGAGCATCACAGCACCATCGTTTCCACCCGACACTACAGAGCGCCGGAGGTGATTCTGGGTAAGAGCGTGTGTCAGTGTGACCTTCTGACGGCTTTCAGCTTGTGTGTGTGTGTGTGTGTGTGTGTGATTCTCTAACTGTGTTTCTGTAGAGCTGGGCTGGAGTCAGCCGTGTGATGTCTGGAGTATCGGCTGTATTCTGTTTGAGTTCTACCGCGGATACACGCTCTTCCAGGTGTGTGTTTGACTTTGAGAGTGTGTGTGAATTTATTGTGTTTCAGTCACATGAGTTTACTGCTCGTCTGCCATATTTATGAGCATCAGCGGGATTTCCACAACAGTCGTGCTGCACAGTATTTTTGTGGAAACCGTGATACATTTCATTTTTCAGGATTCACAGATGAACGGAAAGGTCAAAAGAACAGCATTTATTTGAAATAGAAATCTTTTGTGACATTATAAATGTCTTTACTGTCACTTTTGATCAATTTAATGCATCCTTGATGGATAAAAGTATTAATTTCACACAGTATTAATTAAGTATTAATTAAACTCACACACACCCCAAACATTTGAATGGAAATGTATGACAGTTTCCACAAAAATATTGTGCAGCATGACTGTTTTCAACATTGATAATAATCAGAAATGTTTCTTGAGCAGCAAATCAGCATATTATTATGATTTCTGAAGATCATGTGACAGCGCCGGAGGTGATTCTGGGTAAGAGCGTGTGTCAGTGTGACCTTCTGACGGCTTTCAGCTTGTGTGTGTGTGTGTGTGTGTGTGTGATTCTCTAACTGTGTTTCTGTAGAGCTGGGCTGGAGTCAGCCGTGTGATGTCTGGAGTATCGGCTGTATTCTGTTTGAGTTCTACCGCGGATACACGCTCTTCCAGGTGTGTGTTTGACTTTGAGAGTGTGTGTGAATTTATTGTGTTTCAGTCACATGAGTTTACTGCTCGTCTGCCATATTTATGAGCATCAGCGGGATTTCCACAACAGTCGTGCTGCACAGTATTTTTGTGGAAACCGTGATACATTTCATTTTTCAGGATTCACAGATGAACGGAAAGGTCAAAAGAACAGCATTTATTTGAAATAGAAATATTTTGTAACATTATAGAATGTCACTTTTGATCAATTTAATGCATCCTTGATGGATAAAAGTTTCTATGCATCAAAGAATGCTGAAAAGTAAAATGTATCACAGTTTCCACAAAAATATTGTGCAGCATGACTGTTTTCAACATTGATAATAATCAGAAATGTTTCTTGAGCAGCAAATCAGCATATTATTATGATTTCTGAAGATCATGTGACACTGAAGACTGGAGTAATGATGCTGATAATACAGCTGCGCATCACAGAAATAAATTACAGTTTAACACATAATCACATGTTGGAGGGCTTGTTTTTTTTTTATATTTATACAACTGTACATAGAGTAAATAATGCACAAATCTGTACATAATTGTTCTGTTCCAGATTCATACCATATTATTATTATTATTATTTTCTCTCTCTCTTTACTCTTACTTATTTAAATGTTCTTTCTGTTCTCATGTCATGTATGCATGTACTGTACGCTCCAAGAGCTCCTTAAAAACCACAGCAAATGCCTTGTTTGTTTGTGCACGCTTGGCGAATAAAGCTAATTCTGATTCTGACAAAACAGTGATTTAAAATTATAATAATATTTCACTGTTTTTACTCTATTTTTGATCAGATAAATGCAGCCCTGGTGAGCAGAAGAGACTTCAAAAACATCTCAATTATTCAGAAACCTTTGACCAGTAGTGTATATTAAACCACAATCCATCTCTGCTGATGCTCATAAATATAAACATAACTGTTCCTGAATCAGATCCATACGTGTTCTTTCCTACATGTATGTGTGTGTTTTAGACTCATGATAACAGGGAGCATCTGGCCATGATGGAGCGAGTACATGGACCCGTTCCTTCCAGAATGATCCGGAAAACGAGGTCAGGAAACACTCTGAGCGTTGGTTGATGTAGTCCGTGTGAATAGAGTCCAGTGTGAGAATGACTTGACCTCTGCACTCAGGAAGCAGAAGTACTTTTACAGAGGTCGTCTGGACTGGGACGAGAGCACGTCTGCGGGACGATACGTCCGAGAGAACTGCAGACCTCTGAGAGTGAGTGACTGATTACTCTGACCGTTAATTGGATCATTATAATTCATTTTTTGTAGTAATAAAATAGACCTACGTGAGCAATAGCCTTTAAAATGACTTAAAATGCATATGTAATAGCAATGAGGCAATAATAATTAGTTTAAATAAAGTATCAAAAGCAAGTAATCATATAGTTTTATTGAACAAATACATTATGTGTTATAAACAATGGAGCTAATGTACATTATGCATTATAACAAATGCCAGCAGAGGGCGCCAACGACCTGACGATTGTTTTACACTACGCGAAGTAATCCTCGTTTAATATTGTCCAAACAACATTTAATTCAAATGTCTACATAATATTTAACATTTGGCCATTTTTTTACAGTTTGTGCGGAGCAGCGTTTATTTACTGTGACACGCACACACATAACCTACACGCATGTAAATAATTAAAGCGCATATATTAATCCTGCATCGCATTTATTTAAGTAATTTAATCGTAGCGTTTGTGAATTCACAATAGCATTATGCTTTATTACAGCAAGAAGCCGTGGTTTACAGTGAATTTATAACAGCTAAGGGACGTTGTTAGGTACGAAAAAAATAAAAAATTTGTACATTTTAAAGTTAAATTATTCTATCTAATGCACTTTGAGAGTTAAAAATTAAGAGCTGCAACATGTTCTTAACTAAGAAAACTTTAGTCAGAAAGAAGTCAGTGAATTGACTCGTAGCTGAACTTTAAAGTTGGACTCAACCCTCTTTTTATTTGTGAAATACTGTCTCAGTCTAAATTACACTCACACTGGGGTTTTAGGAAGCCAAACACATTAGAATAGAATAATAATAATAACAGTGACAGCCATATATTGTAAAACAGTTGCACTGTAAAATAAATGAAAATGAATATTTCATAGGTATATTATATACACTGTACAGAAGGGAAAGTACAATACTTCTTTCCTAATTTCTACACTTGAAAGAGATGTTTTGAATTTGGGCTGCATGTAAACCGCTAGCTGTCAGCTATTCTTACTGCACTTTAATCTTTTATTCAGAAGGAAACTCCAGCTTCAGTGAAAACATGCTTACAAAAACACAAACACGTCTCACTACAAATCTAGAGAAACGCTGTAATCATCTGTCGCTGAAATAAAGCATAACTGGTGTCTGCTGCGTTCCCAAACGAGCGCTAAACTCACAGAAGATTAAATAAAGGAGTGGACTGCATTCATTCAGTGTGAACGAGTCGTTCTGAGACGCAGAAAACACCGGATCACGAGCTGATCGTCTGAACCAAGTGTGCGCTTCGCTTTAAAACAGACTTGATGAAGAGATGAAGCATATTGTGCTTTCGGTTTGAGTTCGTCTGATACTGTGCCAAAGCATAATGACCCAAAACACAACTTTAAACACCTTTTATGCCTTTTAGAATAAAAAGTTAAAAACTACACTTTTTGCCCAAAAGACCTATCGTTTCATATCGTCATGTGACCGCGATAATATCGCGATATTTCGATATTGATAATATTGTTACATCCTTAGGATTTAGTTATATAATCTATGTATGCTGTTATTTTGGTGTGGTTTTTGTATTTAAAATGAATTGTGTGTTTATAAAGTAGGGACTGATTGTGTAATGTTGTTAATAAAGGTGTGTTGAAATTCAAACTCTGTCTCTCTCTCTGTCAGAGGTATGTGTTGTGTGAGACAGAGGAGCATCATCTCTTCTTTGATTTGTTGGAGGGCTTGCTGGAATATGAGCCGGATCGGCGCTTGCCTCTCTCCGCTGCGCTGCTTCATCCCTTCTTCAGTCCTGTCCGAGACGCTGAACACTTCAGTGGAGCCCGTGACATCAGCCGGTGACCTCTGACCTCTCCTTTAGCCTGTGCTTCCACTCCGCTAGCGCCTCAGAGCGGGATATCCTGTTCCTGAGCCGCTGGTTCTGATCCGCGTGAGCAGGTTGGTCATTCAGTCTTATGAATATGTCATGAAGAAGAGGCTGCTAACGATTGGCTGAGGTCTCTGCTCACTGCTGATTGGTGGAGCTGAACACAGAGAGAGACATGACAGCCAATAGAATTAGACTGACACCTTCACATGCTCCCTGATTGGTCAGTCCTCGTTTGACGGACAGCTTCAGGGGGCGGGACGTCTTAAGGTTGTTTTGGGATCATCACAGGATTTCAAATATTGCACATGTCGCGGTTCTCAGCAGATGAACACTTTTTCAGTATTTATTTTATGACTCGAGTTGTTTTGTATGAGATGAATATCCTCGTTTCTATAGTAATAAAACGTGCTTCGTATCATTTGAGCGAGTGGGAGTGTGTGTTTATTAGGAATCTTTTGTAAGGTTTCATCAGTGTTTGTCTGCGCTGAAACGAGCTCATGTTTGCATGAGCACTTCTGAGGAACAACTAGTCACCGACAAAGGTTAGCAGGTTAGTGGCACCAATATTCAGAGATTTGAAACTGCATCTTCACCAGTACAGCTGTGTTCTGATCTGAGTTGTTTTGTGAATCATAATAATTAAATGTTAAATTATTTTTGCAGAGACATTGTGTAATCTGTGTTGTAATATGATCTATTTAAGATAAAGCCGTCCTCGGTGGTGTATACAAGCTGATGTTCATCTTCTGGACTTCTCTGTGTCTAAATTGTAATGTGAACTATATGCTGATAGTCAAGTCTAAATATGTGAATTAAGGGATTCATAAACTCGTTTGAGCTCCGATATTAACTTGTAGTCCTCTTGAGGTTTTAGGTTAATATTTCAATAATTTAACGATGCGTTCACGGTTCTCTGATGTCGGTTTATGGTCACATGACATGCAGGAAAAATATTTTATGGTAACACGTTCCATTTATTAGCAATAGTTAACTACTTTACTTTTATTAACTTAGCGTATAGGACAACGCACACAGAGCTACCTATTGCACCATCAGCCCATTTCACGGTGAAATGCCAAAAGAAAAGCCAAATTTTGTGATGCACAAAGAAAATGGGCTATATAAAACTAGAAATTGTAATGTGTAAGCATGCAAAAAATGCATGTGACTAGTTTCTCGAGGGCACAAAAGTTTCTTGTGTGCATGTATTTTTTTATTTTAGGGACTGTAGGTTGTCACTTCGAGAAAATCAATGAAAAAAACCCTGAGAAAATAAACATTTACAGATGACTGTACTGTATACCAAATATAAAGCTGAAAATAATGCTCTATGAACCGTTCATGTTAAATATGGTCTGAAAATCTACCGAGAGGTTTGGAAATTTGAGTCTGGAAAAGTATGGAATGTTAAAATGGAAATGGGTAGAAACCCTGAATAGTGTCTGTGCAATCAGTCAAGTGTCTCCAACTAAGCAAGCCAAAGGTGTGTGTGTGTGTGAGAGAGAGTGAATGAGTGTGTGGGTGTAGGTGTGTGTGAGTGAGTGCATATGCGACTAAATCTTACTCTGGGCGACTAAATAATGTCTTAACATTAGCCATTGGCTAATAAATTCTTAGATTTTACACGCCAGTATGTGTGTGAGAGGCGTTCAACACAGATTTTCACTCGATAAACACGCTGACTGAGCGCTTGAGAGTTTCGCTCTCCGTCAAGCGATCTGTACTATTTGGATGCGCTCAATGGATCATGTCATGTACTCAATGGATACGCAGTATGTAGCAGCAGCGCACCTGTATTTGACGTACCATAAACTAGTGTGAAGGCGCACGACTCGCCGTCGCTTTACTGACTGTGTTTCTCACACATGCAAAGAGAGAGAACGAGAGTCTTGCATACCACGCTGAATCGACGCGCTACATGTAAACCATATTCTTTGTTGTATTTTCCTGTCAAAATAACAGAGTTAATTTAGAATTATTCAGCTTTTAAGAACAAGCAGAAGATATGCCGGTTTCTCAGCAGTGGGCGGAGCTAATGCGCAAACAGCTCTCGTTGGCTGGCGCTCATCTATTACCGTCCCTGTTTTGATTTCAGCAAATCAGTTCGAGCGAACGCTGACAACGTGATTAATATTCATGAACCCATCAGATAATAATAGTAGTAGTAGTAGTAGGCCTAGTATCTTTTAATAATAATTACTATTACCTATGACCAACAATATCTTAAACACCACCACCAGTCCTAAGTTCAGTTAAAATGACAAAATATGCATTCATTCATGGTTACCAAGTTTTAGTTCTAATCACTAGTTCTATCATTAAATAGTGCTTAAAGCCAAAGGTGTGTGTGTGTGTGTGTGTGTGTGAGAGAGAGTGAATGAGTGTGTGGGTGTAGGTGTGTGTGTGTGTGAGTGAGTGCATATGCGACTAAATCTTACTCTGGGCAACTAAATAATGTCTTAACATTAGCCATTGGCTAATACCTGTTTTGATTTCAGCAGATCAGTTCGAGCGAACGCTGACACCGTGATTAATATTCATGAACCCAGCAGATAATAGTAGTAGTAGTAGTATCTTTTAATAATAATTACTATTACCTATGACCAACAATATCTTAAACACCACCACTAGTCCTAAGTTCAGTTAAAATGACAAATATGCATTCATTCATGGTTGCCAAGTTTTAGTTCTAATCACTAGTTCTATCATTAAATAGTGCAAATTTGACAAATTTGTACCCAAAAGTGAGCAAAACCTGACAAATTCGGCAAAAACCTAAATTTGTGGATGTCCTCATTTGTAAAACGGTTATAAAAATAAAGTAAACAGTTTTTTTTTTTACCTTTGAAATTGTAAAAATGCATTAAGTTTTCTGTGAGGAGTAGGGTTAGGGGTAGGGGTGGGTTTAGGTTAAAAAGTGTATGACTATCTGTATATAAAAACAATAGAAGTCTATGTAATGTCCCCATTTAGATAGCTAAGTAAACGTGTGTGTGTGTGTGTGTGTGTAGTGTGTGAGTGAGTGAGTGAGTGTTTGGCTGGTGTCTGGAGTTCAGATGAGTGTGTGTGTGTGTGTGAGTGAGTGAGTGAGTGTGTGTTTGGCTGGTGTCTGGAGTTCATGAGTGTGTATGTGTGTGAGTGCGTGAGTGTGTGCGTGAGTGTGTGTGTGTGTGCGTGAGTGTATGTGTGTGAGTGTGAGTGTGTGTGAGTGCGTATTTGTGTGTGTGAGTGTGTGTGTGTGAGTGTATGTGTGTGAGTGTGCGCGTGAGTGTGTGTGAGTGTATGTGTGTGTGTAAGTGCGTGAGTGTATGT